TTTCAGTTGCCCGCCAGCGTTACATTTACTATTCGTAAGGTGACTGTAAAGTGGCTGCTTTAGCAGTTTACTGTCGTCCATGTCGGTAACATGGCCAGCCAGCATAGTTGTTCATGGATAATGGTAGCCTCGATGCTTCTACAGTACAGTTGGTGTCAGCAGGAATACTGGCATTTGTTCTCTTGTCTTCCCAGCGAACTCGGAGGATGGATTGTAGACTACGTTGGTGAAAGTTTTCAAGTGCCTTGAGGTGCCTCCTGTATGTGACCCATGTCTTGCTGCCATATAGCAGGGTGGGGAGGACCACTGCTCGATATAACACAGGCACCGCCAACACCAACACCATCACCCACCTTCATCACCCATCACAATCATCCATACCACCACCACCACCACCACCACCACCACCACCACTCCACTTCCTCAACACCACACCACACCACACCACACCACACCATATTCTCTGGCCATAAATAAAATAATAATCCAACTAATATTAACATCACACTCACAATATTACAGCAATACGGACATTAATCTTGTGAAATTGGAATGCGTGTTTGACTTTGTACAGAAGTGCTGGAAGGAAATTAATAATAATAAAAATAACTCATTGACAGGTAAATGACTAATTTACTGGACCGACCCACACCTGTACTTTGTTTAGTAACCACAAGGAAACAGTCGAGCCATAATTTATCGAGGAACTGTCGTAGGTGGTGGCTCGCGGGAGAAGCAACAATAATTTCTCTAGGGATAGATTTTGTTGGTGTTTTTGTTATTGTTGTATTTGTTGTTGTTGTTATTCTGGTACTACAACGGCTAAGGTATTTTTTAAAACTACTTGTAATAGCTTTAGTCTTATACAAAGGTGATGTTACTACTAAGATAGTTGGGAAATATGACACCCAGGTACTCTTATGTTTTAAATTTTACTTATGACTAAACTTTAGAAAATTAACGGTCGTATTACTCCTATATAATAATAATAATAATAATAATAATAATAATAATAATAATAATAATAATAATATACAGAGTGAAATAAAACACCTTCCATCAAATTGAACGTATCTAGTTAATGCAGGATATCAGTATAATTCTGATATATTTTTTTGTACGATTAATCTTCCTTCATTTACAGTCAAACAATTAGAAGCTTTACTATGTTTCCATTTATTAAGGAAGTTGTATGTATCTTAAAATGGTTGACTGTAGCCTAATTGAAACAAAATTATAATTCGAGACTGGAATATCACAACCTTACCCTCTCCTGAAAATATATGGTAAGATAATATTAGCAAGATACTGAAAATCGTAACCCAAATCCTCTCAAAGTTAACACTCAAATCCTCTATCGTCATTCTCTCACCCTGACCATCACCATTCTATAAACAGAAGCTTCCCCCCCCCTTCACATTCATTTTCTTTATTACCTCCTAAACACTCACCCCTTGCCTCCTCTCCTCTGACCTTTTGCATTCTTCTCGTATTATTTTTAGTTATATTCTATTCCCCTTTCCTTTACTTCCACTTGGACGCTATAGTAGTGTCGAAAATTTTGCTTTCTCTCGGTGTCCTTGGAGGGAGGGATGATGTCGTGTGTGTTTGAGAAAGTGTTTGTTTGTATGTACGTATATATGTGTGTTTGTGTATGTGTGTGTGTGCTTCTATGTAGGTATGTGTTTATACTGTATGTGTGTCTTTACGTATGTATTTGTGGATATATTTGAATGTTTATATGGACGTACATTTATTTGAATACACTATTGTAAATATCCATAGATAAATGTTTAAAAAATATTCGTGTGTGCGTATATATCGAAGATTGTATCCACCAGCGCACACACACACACACACACTGGGGAGAGAGAGGGAAAACAGCACGTCCCTAAGAACCTTCCAATGTGAGGTAGGTGATAAGTGCACGACTGCCCTCAACCCTCGTATATATAAGATAAGGTGAGGTGCTATGAAAGTCAAGCATCGATAAGAGGAAGTTACGAGGAGAATATCAAAGAGTTTAGGAGAAAAATCGGTGGTTTCAGGTATATTGTGTACAAGGGAGGTCGTTGATGAGGCCTTTTATTCACTGCGTGGTCAACTGTCTCTCGGGTGAGTAGTAATACATTATAATACCAGCCTACTGATGGGTCTTAATGGCTTGTTATACTGTCATCAGTATCTGAAGAAAATAATATTGTTGTCTATGAACGTGAGATATCAGTGCGGTGTTCCCTTAATAATTCTGGCTTATATATCTGTATTCTCTCATTCTGAATTCTTACCCTCCCCCCCAAAGGCTGTTCTTTGTTCCAACTAAGACTCGGTAAACTGCGTTTCATAATCGTGGTAGCTGAAACTCCTCAAAAATTTGTAAGGCGCCTATAACTGCTCCGTTGGTTCTAAAGAGAGGGAACTAAAAAAAATAAACTAATGTTTCATCAATCATCACAAAAAGTACAAGTAATATGATATTTTTTTTACAATTTCTTGCATTTAATATGACATATATGCATTAGTATAAATGTAATTGTAAACGAGGGATATATTTTCCCTATTCAAGCTTTTTAACAATATGGATAATGTCGTAAATAATAAATGTATAATATTACTGTGCACAAGTAATTCACAAACTGAGGTCGTACATTTTAACATTATTAACGTCACTGATGACTGCCGGGTCAAGCCGTAGCTCTCTGGTTCAAACTTTAATTATCTCCCTCACTCATCCCTCCCTTTCTCTCTCGTCATTACCCAAAATTCCTTCCCTCATTTTCTTTCCTCTGTATATATTTGAATTTTTATCATATACATAAATTTGTACTGTTTTACATAAGTTATTAAAGGGATACATTAATGAGGTCTAACTTTAGTATTCGTTTGTTTTTTAAATTATGTGAGACGAAGGAGAGTCGCATTTTCTTGGGTTGGGATATTATTATTATTATTATTATTATTATTATTATTATTATTATTATTATTATTATTATTATTATTATTATTATTATTATTATTATTATTATTATTATTATTATTATCATTTGGTGAGGATTGGCATAAAAGTCATAACAAATAATAATTATATAAAAAATAATAGGAGATTGGTTTCATACTTTATAACATGCATCCAGTAGGTACACACGCGAGAAGTCCTTAGTCCTTTGTTAGGTTCACGTGCTTGTCTTTTACATAATTCAGGCTACAACTACAGTTAATAAACAATACCCTCGGAATAGAATATCAAGGCCTTCCAAAATGGATGACGCCTGCTGGGTAATTGGCGGTAAACATTTTATTGCTTTATAAAATCAGTGTAAAGTTGCTTCTAATTACGGTATATCTTTTGCTGTTGTTTTTAGATTGACAGTGGGTGAAATGACTTACAAGGGTCTGGTAGATGGTGATGGCTGTTGGTTGCTCTTTACGCTTTACAAAGTTATGTTCATTGGTTTTAAACTCATTTTGGTAGTAAACTTTTAATTCGTTTGAATGTTCATTGAATCTTGTTTATTTATTCACTGGTATTCAATATTTACTGTTTTCAAACTAAGTTCTTCACTTTGTAATTTTCAGTGACCTTAAACTTTTGTTGATACGAAAAACAAAAAAGTTTAGGGTTAAAATCGTCCAATAGACTTAAATGTTACCTGATACTAAATATTTTCTTCTCAACAAAGGTCAACTGTCATGTACTGTGTATTCACTGACCCAATAACTCAGTTGGTTATTCAGTGATGTTACTGGTATTACCTACTAAGCTGAACTTACTTATATATCAAGCTTCAAGGGGTCACAAAAGTTCAATACTAATCAAACGTTCTTCCTCTGTATTTTAGGAGTTCTACCCCAAACATCTTTTAATGATTACGAAAATGGTAGATAAAAGGTGATCAAAAAGGTATGGTTGGCTTAACTACACATCAGAATCTTATCGCCCAAAAGCTATTACTGATCGTCCAACTTTCAACACACAGTACGCATAGAAACGTATAAAACAGAATTCGAGCTGAAATTTAGGTTAGTTATTTGTTCTACCTGTGCAATATTCAGCGAATTAACCTAAAACTAATCAAAATTAAAGTAAAGTAAAGTAAACTAAACTAAACTAAGTCAGTCTGCTTTCCTTTAGTAGTATATTTAAAAAGTCTTAAAAGTTCACCTTTATTCTCGTCTTCAGTCGTTACCCAATTACAGTATTATTATTATTATTATTATACCAAGAGACAAATAATTAATGCTTTATCATCAATGTTTTCGTTTATTAGTGTACTGTAAACAATATACTGTAAAAGGCCTTCTGCTCTTCAGAGTTCTGTCATGTTGATGGAGGAACGGATCACTGCACTGAACTATGCTCGTGCTAGCTCCATGTCACAATCACCTCGGCATAATATACATATACAACGCTACGTATTGTAGTCAGTACACTGCGGGGTCAAAAGTTCGCTCCCTCCCAAAATGAAGCAGTGTCGACCCCAGATGAGATAAAACAGCACAACCGCATCACACGAGTCAGGGTAAGTTCGGAGACTCATTCCCGTGACTCAGTTTCTTCACGGGGAGCGAACTTTTGTCCCCGACTGTACATAATCTTACTCTATTAGTTAAAGTTCTTAGTGGATATTGTTTACTCTTAGACACGGGAGACGGCTTTAATAGTGGTAATAGCTAAAACTCTGTAATGGGATAAACAAAAACATAAAGAACTTATTAAGAACAAATTGAGCTTTTATTTTGTTTATTTGGGTCACCCTGTCACCTAACCGCTCCTTTTCAGAAACCCAATTGTCCGGTAGTTGTTGTGAAACTGCCAACCCTTAACAGAGATCCGTGCTGTATCATCTTGCCAAGACTTCAGCAACAAAATAGCAATAAATGTTTACCGTTGACAAGTCGCTCTTGTACCATAAGTGTCAGAGAAATGTTAATATTGTGATGTTGATATTGCACGATGAGTTCTCAGAGGCTCGTGGCGCCAGCACAGTACCATATCAGTGTGTGTGGTGGACTGGGCCTGGTGAAGTGAAGGCAGTGTGGCCGCGGCCGCTGTGGGGTGTGGAGGTAAATGAGTGCGCTCTGTGTATGCTGGTGACAGAGGTCATCGTTCGGCGTGGGGGTGTCCCTCGTTGTACTCTCTGTCAAATGACTATTATACGTGTGGTGGGCGCTGTACCTGCTCCCCGCTACTTAGCTAAACTAATGAACCTGTCATGTTCAAACTTCAAAAATCACCAGTGAAGTTGTTTATTGTGAGAGGATAATGATTAACTCTTGGTTCACTGGACAGATGGACGAATTTGTTTTGTAATATATACATGTCTGTGTGTATGCGTATGTATGTATGTGCGTGTGCGTGTGTTAATAATTGTTATGTCATTTAGCTACATTTCGTATAAAATATACATAAAACTTGGAACATCTGTCAAAAAATGACAATTGAAGCATTCAAGTCATAATTCACGCCATGAATAAGTAGTGTAGTGTGTCGTGTCTCGCCAGCCGCGCCGGAGGTACCCAACACCTGCCAGTCGTCAGTCCGTGCATCTCATGTAAACACGAGGACAACGTCAACACTTGATAAATAGTGCGTGACATCAGGACCATCACCAGTTTATCCAAGGTGAGTGGATTTCTCTTACATTTTCATATTATTTTGGGTCTTGGATCAGGATTGTATTACCTTTGAATAACGCAGAAGTTTTGTAAAAATATTTAAAAAAAGTTAATAGCCATGTATTTTATTATTAACATTTATATTTATATATCTTTTGTTTCTCTTAAATTTAAAATTGATTAAGAAAATGCTCGTGCGAAAATGAGGTTGTATCTAAGCTTCAATTATTACAATTTTAATAATTTATTTTTGTCTTGTAACTATTTGATACTTCAATAACGGACTGAATATATATATCGCTTGAATAACAGATTATACGACATATTAATAAGAACTAGTTACAGACCAATATCTTGCCCTCGACTGTACAGCACTGGTTGTCACAGACTCTTGTGTACAAAATAACCATCTGACACATGAGGTCGTAACGTATCCAATATACATCAAACGTAATCGAAGATCAATATGTTAGGTTAAATTCGATTGCTTTGCTTTTGTTGTAAACTGTTATTCTGTAATCATACACTGCCAGTCTCTTTATTAAAAGGAAATTAGAACGTTTAACCCAGGGCCGTATGCGACAACCGAACCATCAGTGTTACTAGTACTGTGATACATTCTACCACGCACGTAGCAAGTATTTATTTATGATTAAGCGATCTAAATACAGGTTCTTCAGTAATGGCATTGTAGAGGTTACAGGGAACGGTAATTTAATCATGATTTATTTGTGATATATCACTACGCTTCAACAGCTAAGGTCTTTAAGTGCACATACTAGTTAACTAATTATACTAGTTTCCAGCAATTAAAAAAAATCCTATTTATCTTTCTAGGTTGAATTATCGTTAATGTTATATAATGTTATGACTGAGCTTCAACAACTAAAATGCCTTTAAGCCCGTAGCACGTCCAGCGTTCACTCCAATACAGTATATCACCAATAGAATATATTATGAGTTCTATGTATTCCTCTGAATTATCAAACATGTAATGCGTGTTTGTCTAGATTAAATTAAAGACTATGATATTGATGATAGCTATTTGTATTTTGTTTTTAATTATAGAAGAAAACAATAAAAGTGAAGAAATGGGCGCTGAATATTTCGATCTCAGACTGTTGGAAAAAAAATATATAATCAGGTGAAATTATGAAGGCTGTTGCAGATCCCATTACAAATAGTGAGGTCTTCTAAATTTCCTCCGCACATTTATTATTTTTATGTATTTTCTTTGTGTGAGTTGTGTTTGTAGCGGCGCGTGATGGACTGGTGGTGGGCGTAATTTGGTTGTGTTTGGGGGTAATGTTGGAGGACGGAGGCGTAATATTCGCATGCATAAATTGGGTGTCTGAACGTCCGAATTCTCCCCAACCTCAAACTTACGTGATACAGAGCTGACCCCCTGTTGTGTGTGTGCGTGTGTGTGTGTGTGTGTGTGTATACAGATACTTGCATAAACTAGAGCAAACGAGGCTGTTGCATGATGATCCTTGATGTGTTGGTTGAGGTGAACTGATGTATTTTAAACATTATTATATTTTTAACCTTCTCAATCAGACATTGTTAATGAGTGTGTCATATCAAAGGTACAAGTGACGTCACGTGTACAAGTCAACACTTTAATGTAGGTCTGATGCATTGTTTTCTTTGTCCTGTATATGAAATTCGCCTAAGTTGAACACTGAACGTTTCTGTCCGCTGTCCTAATGTAAAGGTCGCTGGGTCGTGCTCGGGACACCCCTGGTTCACCCACCGGTGAGTGAGGACCTAACTCTACAGTTGGGGCAATGAAGGCTATCGAGTGCAGTGTCGGCCACACTATTTCACTGTCCACTGAAAGTTGCTGTATACACACAGTTTCTGGGACTCACTTTCATTGTTGTTTTAGATATTTCAGTTGTCAAGGTTCTTTTAAACAGACATTGTTACACGGTCAAGAGGGATAGTTTTTATTTCACTCTATAGGTCACATTTTTAAGTACAGTATTTAGATGCTACAACTGCTAATGTCGTTAAACACTGCTGTATTCGCTAAGTAATATTTCTACACGAGACAAGTTTAGAAAATTAATAAAGTTCTGCCATGCTTTCTGCTTATAATTAGTTTTAAGTTTAGAGTTGGTGCATGAGTCACCTTGGTTACTGATCAGTGATCACCAACACCATCTGTAACATTTACCTACATGTTATTAAAAAACAAATAAATGTTTTGTATAGTTGCTTGGAACGACGGAGGTTATTATACGCTCGAGTGATAAAATAAGCAATAGGCCATGCAACAGTGCAACACGTCTTCTAATTATTTCGTCACAAAGCTGTTTATTCATGTACTATACGTTAATGTACTCTGGAAAATTATCTTGTTCCTCAGACAGAGCCAATAATAACAGCATTACACAAACCCATCAGTTTCCTATTGGTAGAGTTTCCAGGTGTGTTCCACTCATGTCCTCGCCATGGCTGGTAGAGGCATCACCTGCTACACTATAATGGACGGAGAGTAGGAGAGGCGGTGGTGAGGGCGTGTGTGTGCCGGCCACTACAGCACGGACACCCATCACCTCACGGCCTCTCTACCTGCAGGGAGTCATAGTATTATCCTGAATTACCAACAATAATGAGTGTTTGTGTTGCTATACATGAAGGTGCGTCAACTGTCAGCCATTAAAAGAGATACAAGTTAAGTTTTAGAAGTTTTATACATGAAATTGTTTAAACATTATGACGGTAGAAGGCCAAGACATTTATGACCATATTGTCAACTTTTAAAATTATGCTTATTAAAGAAAGTTTAAACTGAACTGAATCCCTTGTGCGTGAATGTAGGTCACAAGGCTGAGTTTCTTACCCCCCTCCCCCCCCCCGGTGATACTGGGTGTTGTACTACGCCTCGGTGTTGCTGGGTGCTGAGGCCTTCCCTGGTATTGCTGGGTGCTGAGATATACACCTGGTGTTGCTGGGTGCTGAGACCTCTCTCTGGTGTTGCGAGGTGAAGAGACGTAACCCTGTTGTTGCTGGGTGCTGAGACCTCCCTCTGGTGTTGCTGGGTGCTGAGATATACACCTGGTGTTGCTGGGTGCTGAGATATACCCCTGGCGTTGCTAAGTACTGAGACCTCCCTTGGTGTTCCATGGTGCTGAGACCTCCTGGTATTCCATGGTGCTGAGACCTCCCCTGGTGTTCCATGATGCCGAGACCTCCCTGGTGTTTCATGGTGCCGAGACCTCCTGGTATTCCATGGTGCTGAGACCTCCCCTGGTGTTCCATGATGTGAGACTTCCCTGGTGTTCCATGGTGCTGAGACCTCCCTGGTATTGCTAGAGACCTCCCTGGTGTTCCATGGTGCTGAGACCTCCTGGTGTTCCATGATGCTGAGACCTCCCCTGTGTTCCATGGTGCTGAGACCTCCCTCTGGTGTTGCTGGGTGCTGGGATATACACCTGGTGTTGCTGGGTGCTGAGATATACCTGGCGTTGCTAAGTACTGAGACCTCCCTTGGGTGTTCCATGGTGCTGAGACTCTGCGTTCCAGGTGCTGAGACCTCTGGTATTCCATGGTGCTGAGACCTCCCTGGTGTTCCATGATGCCGAGACCTCCTGGTGTTCCATGATGCTGAGATTCCCCTGGTGTTCCATGGTGCTGAGACCTCCCTGGTGTTGCTAGGTGCTGAAATCTCTACCTACTGTTGTTTGGTGCTGAGAGGTCCACCTGGTATTGTTGGGTGCTAAGACCTCCCTGTAGTTGCTGGGTACTGAGACGTCCCTTGTGCTACTGAGTACGGATACGGACTCCTGGTGATGCTGGGTGCTGAGACGTACCCTGGTGTTGCTGGGTGTTGACCTGCTCTTGGGTTTCGGGTGCTGAGACGTACCTCTAGTGTTTCTGGGTGCTGAGACCTACTCTTGGTGTTGCTGGGTGCTGAGATCTCTACCTACTGTTGGGTACTGAGACCTCTACCTGGTGTTCCCGGGTGCTGAGAGGTCCCCCTGGTGTTGCTGGGTGCTAAGACCTTCCCCTGTAGTTGCTAGGTGCAGAGACGTAACCCTAGTGTTGCTGCTTGCTGATACAACCCTTGGTGTTGCTGGGTGCTGAGACGTCCCCTAGTGCTGCTGGGTTCTGAGACCTGCCCATGATGTTGCTGGGTGCTGAGATTTCTGGTGTTGCCTGGTGCTGAGACCTTGTGTTCTGGGTGCTGAGACCTGCCCCTGGTGTTGCTGGGTGCCGAGACCAGCCCTGATGTTGCTAGGTGCTGACCTCCCTCTTGTGTTGATGGTAGCTGAGAACATCCCTTGGTGTTGCTGGGTGCTGAGATGTATCCTGGTGTTGCTGGGAGCTGAGATCGTGTTGCTTGGTGCTGATACGTACCGCAGGTGATCCTGGGTGCTGAGACGTATCCATGGTCTCCCTGGTGCTGAGACCTCCTCCTGTTGTCGCTGGGTGCTGAGACCTCTCCTGGTGTTACTGGATGCTCAGATCTCCCTGGTGTTGCTGGGTGCTGAGACCATTACCCCGGTGTTGCTGGGTGCTGAGACCTCCACCTACTGTTTTGGGTGCTGAGATCTCTACCTGGTGTAGCTGGGTGCTGAGAGGTCCTCCTGGTGTTGCCGGATGCTGAGACGTAACCCTGGTGTTGCTGGGTGCTGAGACGTCCCCTTGTGCTGTTGGGTCCTGAGACGTATCCCTGGTGTTGCTGGATGTTGACCTGCTCTTGGTGTTGCTGGTGCTGAGACGTACCTCTTGTGTTTCTGGGTGCTGAGAGCATCCTTCCGTTTTGCTGGGTGCTGAGACGTCCCCCAACTGCTGCTGGGTGCTTAGACCTGCCCCTGGTGTTGCTGGGTGCTTAGACCTCGCTGGCGTTGCTGGGTGCTGAGATCTGCTCTTGGTGTTGCTGGGTGCTGAGACCTGCTCTTGGTGTTGCTGGTTTTAAGACGTACCCTGGTGTTGTTGTGCTGAGACTCTCTGGCGTTGCTGTGCTGAGACCTGCTCTGGTGTGGGTGCTGAGAC